ATTGGGAGGATTGATTATAGATGTATGTATGTATAGATGGATGTATATATATATTATCTTCTGCATTTTATTGGAACTTAAATCTAAGATGCCTCCTTGGAACAGGCAAATAATTTTTATCCTTGGTACATCTTGCATAAATTGCCAATAAGAATTAAGTTTGCAAATGTAAGCAACAAGAATAAAAGTGTGTTCCCCCATGACTTTAATTTTTAAACTGAGAAGATTCAGTCATTGTTAGGTCTGAAAATAGAAAACACAACTGAGTCATGGACAGCAGCTCTCAAGAGATGTTTGCTTCACAGTGGGTGGGATTACTCAGAAAAGACAAAACATGGTTGTGTGCACTAAAGTAATGTTGGTTTCATCAAACATAACTGATAAAAAAGAGAATAAATATGCATGTTTACTTAGAAAATCCCACAATAATTCTTTCATGCTTAATCTAAAAAAAAAAATCCCATTTTATGTGGAGAAAACTCATTTATTAACTCAGAATGTCACATTGAACATTCATACAATATTTATAACAAAGGTCCACCATCAAGTTAAAATACGAATTGCAATGAAACCTTTCTCTTTAACCAGCACACATGCATTTAATGCATTTAATGAAGCTGTTTTGTTTATAATAAATGGAAGAATGAGCAAACTGTTAGCATACTTTGGGTTTGTGGCTGAGCCTCTTCCCCAACATTTAACCAATGTGTTATAACACATTCAAAATGACTGAGGTTGATAAAAGTGCTTAACTGTAAAACCAGTTAACAACAAAATGAAAAACAAAAACGAATAAAAATGTGCACATGAATATACTTATAGAAGCACAGCATGAATGCTCTGTTTAAATCAAAAGCCATTTTAGTAGAAGTAGGTATTCATCCTAATCTGACCAATTTTCCAATTTGTGCTAATAAAGAACATCCCAACATCACCACGTGAATGCTCATTGGTTCTCACTGTGTGACATCCAAGCTAGAAGGTGAATGGTCTTCGCAGGTACTTGGCAAGGTCTTCAATGGTGTGGCAAGAGTGCAATAAAGTCCCTAGCATGCTTGATAGAGGGGCATAGGTCCACAAGGGTTTTGAGAATGCACCAATCTTCTGTAGCAAAGTTGTGGTGGTTTATAATCATGGTGGCACTAGTGGTAGTGTATCCATGATGGGGAACAAGACCTGGCTTTGTTGTCAAGAACATGAAGCTGGCCTCATTCCTAGGCTATGACTGTGATCATTACAAGATCCTGGAATTTTTTTACTTCAGATGTACCTGTAGTGGTCGTGTTTGTTGTGATCTTTCAGATCTTTTAGCTGCATCTTGAGGCAGCCCCAGAGATTCAGGGTGCAGGAGAATCTTGGAATCAATCTTGAATTGTGTAAAAAGGCAGGAAAACCTGTTGGACAACTATAATGTCTTCACACTGAGGGACGCTTTTCAAAATTTTTTATGATGTAGGTCATGCAGGCTGTCATGAAGTTGTGAAGAGGACCTTACATGAAGGTGTTGGGTTTGTGCCACACAAGGTTCAGTCTCATCTGACCGGGATGTCTTCTCTCCCCTGCTCTGGTCATCTCCAAGGCATATTGGTAATCTTAAACAGTCCCGATACAAGCGGCCGACATGAGCTTCCACCGTAGGGTTGTTAGGCTCAGACTTTGAGATAAGCGGAAGAGTGCCATCATCTAATGTGGCTCGGCATAGAGCTGCTGCTCCTCCTCATCAAAATGAGTCAGCTGAGGTGGTTCAGGCATATAATTAGATTTCTCCTGTGCACCTTTGTCTAGATGTTTTCTGAGCATTTCCCATGATGACAAGACCCCGGGGCAGACCCAGAACTTGCTGGAGAGTTTATGTATACTCAGGCCTGGTAACAATCTGGGATCCCTGGAGAAGTTGGAGAGTATCACTGAGGAGGGACATCTGGGTTTCCCTCTTAAACTTGTTTTCCTCACAACCCAACCACAACTGAGTTGCATAAATCTGGATCTCTGCTCTTAGGCTTTCCATCTCTTTTTGAGTTATTTTTGACTGCCTTGTGAGTGTATATTTACCTAGTAGGTGTGACACAAGTTCCTCCACCAAAATAATTATTACATAATTATGATTATTTATCAGGATTCACAGAATAGCTTCACTGTGCCCTGACACTATCAGCTAAAAAAAGTCTACCCAGTTGTCAAGGACCACTGTTAATATGTCTGTACGGACTGAAATATTTTAGTGTTCAGGGTAAAAAATAATAAAAGCTAAAGAATAAAAACTTAAACAGCACTTGCCTGATTCTTTTCTTTGGTCAGATTTTTTTTCCTGGCCACTCTTGGTGAGTCCTCCAAAGATACTTTTTTTTTGTCTTGGCTTACATTCAACAGTAGGGTATTCCCCGCGATGCAACGGGGGTTCCGAGCCATTACTATTCACCTAAATAAGTAAATCTCTTCTGAAGACATCAGCAGTTTCCATGCAAAAGACTCAGTTTCTGATAATCTGTAACTCTGCCAACACACTGGACAAAATCCTCTTAATTTTTAATGCAAAAAGCAGAAGAATGGTAAAAAGGCACATTGTTCGTTACATAAGTCAGAGTCTCAGCAGCGTCTTTCGGAGAATCCATGGAGAGCAGCTCTCCATCCGCAGGTGGAAATGTCTGTTGAATGCGTATCATCCACTCCGAGGGAGCCCCCCCGTCCACACAATAGCCAGCGACAGTGTAAGCATCTTCCCCCGCTGTGTTCCACCCCACAGGCAGTGCACACCGATAGGCAGAAAAACCAGTGGGAGTGATCCAGCCCTCTTGAGATCAGCATTTTGCAGCACCGGCTGACATACCTCATCTTTTCCTTCCTCCCCATTTGTCTTATTCTCAAACTGCTGTAATGAGCCGATGTCTTGTCAGCGGAGAGGGGGAGAACGACTGCAACGGGGTCTTCCTCGCTCCCCTGCATTGGTAGGAGCTCTGTCAGCTTTTAGCAAATGTGTTGCTGGTTGCTAAGATCGAACGCGCACAACTGTGCTCGCCGCTGCATGATTGTATTATTTATAAACCTGCTGCAGATGTTTGATCTATAATTCCTACAATGTTCTGTAAACATCATTAGGTGCTGGACCTCCTCAAAATGAATCACAAACCCTGTTGGACTCATTTCATTCCACCGCTGAGCAGAAATCAAGTGCACGGAATGAAGGTTGTGATGTTTCAGTTCACACAGAGACGCACGGAAACAAAACAACACTACGTTGTGTAAGTTCACCTATAAATAAATCTGTGCAAAACAAAAAAGAACAGCTCAAAACTTTGCTTAAAGGCTTTTAAATCACTGAAACAGACAAGTAATCAATATTTATACCTGAAAATACAAAGCAAATGTAACAGTTTTTAGGAAACGCCAGCTGGCATGATTGCACGGTTTGTTGATTGTATAATCTCGGGTCATGCTGTGTGTCTTTTTGTCTCCTTGGCAACAGCATTATATGTTCATGATTTTACATTCCAAACATCGTAAGACCTGAACATTAACCCCAGGATTATATGACACTTTAAACTGGATTTATACACTTGTGTAATCATAACAGCTGGTGCAGGCAACAGGTACTTATTTTAAAGGAATATGCTTCAAATATCACAGCTAACGAGAATGTGCGTGCACCAGAACATGAACACTTTCTTATATGAACAAAAGAGAGAAAATGCATTGCATTTCTGCCTTTCATGCCACACTTGTAGAATAAGATCATTTTATATTTAAAAACCATGGAGTTTAATGTTAAACACATCACACAACATCTTGCATGATCTGGTAGTGCATGGACCATACGTTGTGAATGATTCTCAGCGACCACTGCTCAAAACGTTACTTCCATATCTGTAAAATCCACTTAGATATAGTCATTTTTGTGTGGGCAAAGCTCAATTACCGTACTTGCCGCCATACACGTCGCACCTCCATATAAGTTGCATCATTCCAAATATGTCTAATAAAGTGGGAAAAAACAAATAGGTTGCATCTTTTATCGTTGACCACCTGGAAACATGGGCCGGTGTTGTGCCAAAAATCAATTGGCTGCCAAATGGCAGGCACGGGAGCATGCACGGGAGGACTTTAACAAGAATTTAACAAGATTAACACTTAAAAACAATTATTTGTTTGCTCAAAATTATAGCAAAGTTGTGTCTCAGTTTAACTTCCCTTAATAAATGCACTATATTGGTCAAATCAGCTGCATTTCAAAAATCGATTCATGGAAGCGGGAGCACACAGACGGAGGACTCGCTGTGTATTTTGTTGAAATTTAACAAGATAACCACCTAAAATCAATTGTTTGTTTGCTTGAAATTATAGTAAATGTGCGTATCAGTTGAACTTTTCTATAATGAATGAACTTTAATGGTCAAATCAGCTGAATTTCGCCTGGGCGGCACGGCAAAATGCAGTTGATTTGACGTTTGCTCCATGAGTTCCTGAGCGAGACGAAGGTGGCCTATATGGCAAGCCAAGTGTCTTAATAATAGCCACTTTATTTAATTTTATTTTTATTTAATTATTTCTATAGCACTTTACACAACCATGGTGATGGTGACCAAAGTGCTTAACAAAAAAACAGTACTTAAAATGACAATAGGTTAAAAGCAAGAAAACACAACAACTTTTACCTATTAATGAGATACTTGGCTTGCCATATTAGTTGAGGGCCCTCTAGCGGCTAAAAATGGTAATGTTCAATAATTTCCATGTCTGAATGAATGAAATCATCACATCTCAGCCAAAAATTGAGTTATAAATACGGAGGGGGGAGAATGTATATTAGTCGCTTTGGTGTATAAGTTACAGGACTTGCAAATTTATGCAAAAATGTGACTTATACATCAAAAAACATGGTAGCTGCGATGGCCTTCTTACATTGGATTGACTCCAAAAGTGAATCAGCTACAGTAGCTGGACACTGAACAATGACTTTCTGAAAATTTAATTTAAATCTGTCTCGTGGTTCATGAGCTATTTTGCTAACAGACAAACAGGATTGACATCAGCACTTTATGCCAATGTTTATGCAAAATAAATTGTGCAATATGCTGCACTTCAACTGGGTGCTGAGGGCGAGGCTCACTTACTACCACAGCAAATTTCAGCTCAATATGTGAAACTGACACAAATAAACTTTTTTTTTTGTAATATTGAATTGTGTTGGCTCCAAAAGTTGATCAGTTGTAAATGTGCATCCATTGAATACTTATTAAAAGTTTCAATAAAGTCCATCCAGTGGTTCAGGAGATATTTTATTAATAGATTGAAAAATGACATGATCGCAAGCTTTTCATGGCAGCAAGTAAGATCTCAGCATCTAGAATATTTCATAATAAATGTTGACAATCTGTTTAAAGCTTTAATCTGTTTTAGTTAATAACATTTTATTTCAGTTGTTCCGTTTTTCAGGGGTCACCGCAGCAAACAACCTAACACAAAAGATTTGGCAATTGTTTCGCAACAAACGACGTGACACAACCTGGACTCGAACCTGCAGCCTCAGCCGCAGTCAGTGTCATTTTACATACAAAGTCAAAAAGTGGAACTATTGTAAAAAGAAAATGAGTTTGGCATCGGCTTTTCACTAAAACTCTTGTATCGCAACTAAAATCTAAACATCAATCAGGTAAACATAAAGTTTAATTTAGTATTCTTCTGGAACATTTAATAAACAAAGTGCTTCACAAAAAGATGCTGTGTTTATATCCTGACGTCAGACGTTTACTTTCTAAATGGGAACTTTTAATGATTTTATCTTCAACCACTTTTATTTCCCCTAAACCTAACCAAGCAGTTTTGATGCTTATTGCTAGCCAAAGTCACTGAAAACACGAGGTGGAAAGCAAAAGTAACACAAACCTGAACAGAATGATGTTGTTGGCTCATCTTGTCAAACCTAAAATTCAAAGAATTGAAAGTGAAACAAAAAGACGAGTCAGCTCCCAGAACACCGAGGGGAAGTTTGGTTAAACAAAATGAAGCGGTGTGAACCTCAGTTTTATTTATATTCATGATGGATGCTGAGCAATCCATTAGACTTTAGCTCAACTTTTTGAGATTACTTCCTCAGGCGGCTGAGA